TCATGATCAAATTTCATTTGAGGTTCAATAAATTAATTATGTCTTTTCCTACAGGGTATAAATGCCAAGTCCTGTGGAGATGGCATTTAAAACATTTTAAAATATAATAAACCAATTGATCTGTTTTGTCACACACAGGGTTGCTCATAATGAAATTTCCAGCAATTCGACCTTGCTTGCTAAAATCATGCTAAAAAATTGGTGGACAAGTCTGATGATAATCTGACAATTATATTTTTTGATTATTTATTATAGAAGGTAGGTATAATGAATGCAGGATGAATTTGATGAACTAGTATCATAAGGAGATGTCCATAAATTAAATTAAAAACTGAGCTCCACCACCCTAGTTTGCTGAAAAAATATTCTACAAAAACAAACAAACAAACAAACAAAACTGTTACTAAAGCATATGTTTACTTGAGCTTTTATCACCTGCCTGAAAGGGACTTCCAAGCTCTCCAATTCCCAATTTAATCCCTGTCAGTCTAATCATAAGGTACTATGAAATTAATAATTTCTGATTCTAATAACTGTTCAGTGCACAGCTTGTTTGCAGTGTCCTATCTTAAGAACAGGAAAACCCAACTAGCACTTAAACAGCTTATCATACACACCCACAAACATACAACATCAATGGATACATGCGTCTCATTACTCATTAGCAGAATTCAAAGTATTATTTGGGGTTTCTCACAAAGCAGTTTTCAGTCATGTTTTGATGTATCTCCTTTTGGACAGACAAAAAATGCTATTGGGGAGACATTCTCACTGTACAATGAAAAAATGAGAAGATACTTCAGGCACTAGGCCTATATGGGTATAGAATCCTCTGGGGAACCTCTAGACATCCTTTGAAGGTCTCCTTCTGTGCATTCAGGTTCAAACCTTTGCCTTTATGATGGGGCTACTGGAAGAACCCTTACGTCTTTACGATCCTCAGAGAATGGCCTTTTTGAAAGAGCGCCTAGAGGTTCTCGGTATGGGTTCTAAAGAACCCCAGGGGTGCCTCAAATATCTTTTCATGTGTACTTTGTTCATAGCTGAAATTTTTGCTGCATTTTATAACACTGTGACAAACCTACCAACCAATCTTAGAGGAAGCAGCATACACATGTTCAAAATTTATTGGAAAAAACATGAAGTCTGTCAGAGTTATATGAAGATTTTTAAATCTCCCATTGCAGCTTCATTTTACACTCTGTTAAACTGTGTTATTCTACCCTCTTTGAGATGCGTGACCATACACTCCACTGCATCAGAAAAGATTAGCTGGTCAGATTCTCTGCAGAATCTAAACTATGCTTACCTCTCCCATTTCACCACAAAATGGCCCTGCATTTAATTCTACTAGTAATTGACTACACCCTTTGGCCACAGATGAAAATGGATCTAAAAATCGCCCCACTCCCTGCATGCATGATCCTTTAAATGACTCACCATGCCACTTACACTCATTACTACTACATTCCACCTAAAGCCATCACATGGCTCACTACACTAATGAGTCACTATTTTTAGAGTGCTACAGAACACATACTGTAAAATCGAGCAGAATCTTTATGAAACTATATACTGTATGAACTTTACCTGAAGCCCTGAATAAATCAGTGATTCATGTTTTCATATTTCATATTACTCCAGATAGGCAAGCACTGGTATATCCATTGGGACTGACTATGAACCAATTTCAGCTCACTTCACTTCACTGACACACAGAGCGCTCAAGGTCTTTCATTTAGTCTCATCTCTCAGACTCTTACCAGTCACCACCATCCACATCAGTTCCTTACCGACTGTAAATGATCTAGCACCGTTTTGGTACCATTATTTATATATGTTGCACACATTCTATCCCTCCTTTCACTGAGAACTATTTATTATCGCATATATAATTTTTTTCTTACCTAGAACACAAAAGCACAATAATCTCAGTCACCATTCACTTTCATAGAAAAAGATCCAGTGAAAGTGACTGGAGACTAAACTCATTCTACTAAACATTTTCTTGTGTGCTCCACGGTAGAAAGCAACTCTTACTGATTGGGGACAACATAAGGGTAGGTAAATGATGACAGAATTTAATAGTTTTTTGGTGAATTATCCCTTTAAACAATTGAGGAAACTTGGGGGAATGGATTCCCTGTTCACATACACTAGTGAATGGTGCCCTCTATTGCTGAAATTATACTGTTAACATATGCTTAGCTATGTCAGTATAAATAAGATCCCAGAATGGTGATAACATCATTATAAAGAACAAAAAACAGCTAGAAAAAACAGTTAGAAACCTTGGAGTTGTGATTGATGATAAGCTGAATTTCTCACACCACATTGCTAAAACTGCCCGGTCCTGCAGATTTGCTTTATACAACATTAGGAAGATCAGGCCCTTTCTTTCAGAACATGCAACACAACTCCTTGTTCAAGCTCTTGTTCTATCCAGGCTGGACTATTGTAATGCTCTCTTGGCAGGTCCTCTAGCCACTTCTATCAAACCTCTACAACTAATCCAAAATGCCGCTGCAAGATTAATCTTTAATGAGCCAAAAAGAACACGTCACACCTCTGTTCATCAATTTGCACTGGCTACCAAGTAGCTGCTCGCATTAAATTCAAGGCATTAATGTTTGCCTACAAAACCACCACTGGCTCTGCACCCATTTACCTAAATTCATTACTCCAGAGTTATGTGCCCTCTAGAACCTTGCGTTCTGCAAGTGAACGGCGTATTATTGTGCCATCTAAAAGAGGCACAAAATCACTTTCACAGACTTTTTCATTAACTGTTCCCTCCTGGTGGAATGACCTGCCCAAATCAATCCGAGCAGCTGAGTCCTTAACCATCCTCAAGAAACGACTAAAAACACAGCTGTTCCATCTTTATTTGACCCTCTAACTCTAGCACTTTCTATTCTATTTTAATTCTACTTTATCTATATTTATCTTTTATTTTT